TCTGACCACTGTGCCACCATGGCTCATATGAGCCCATGGACAGCTATAGGACAGGACTCTTAACCCATCGTTCCTTCCCGGGGTTTCTGAACATCTGTTCTGCACAGAGATGGTACTCAGCAGGTTCTGACCGGTTCTGGAGAACCGGTAGTGGAAATTTTGAGTAGTCCGGAGAACCAGCCCATCCCACCTCTGACTGGCCCCGCCGCCCCCATCTCTTCTGTGCCTCCCATCGAGTCCCAGCTGATCGGCTGGGTCTCCTTGGGTTGCCCTGCCCAGGAGAACGGAGCTGGAAAGCAGGTTAGTGGGGTGGGGAGGGAAGGGGGATTTTGCAGTATATCCTTCCCTTGCCACGCCCACCAAGCCACGCCCACAGAACTGGTACTAAAAATTTTTTGAATCCCACCACTGGTTCTGCAGAAGTTTTTCGTTTGGACTCCGCCGTTCCCATCGCGGGGTCCCCAGCCTGCCCTTCCCCCTCTCCCCCCTCCCCTCCCTTCCTCCTCAGCCCCGACCCGCCGCTTACCGAGGCTAAAGAGAATCAGGAACTTCAAGGTGACGAATTCTTGCCGATCCATTTGGAGGGCGTGGAGGTTCAGCACCAGCTCCTGAGCTCTCAGCACCAAGTTGTTCAGGATAGATCCCGCCTGGGTGGCAAGGGTGGACATGTCCACCTGGAAGGAGGGGAGAAGGGGAGAGGAAGGACCGCCAAGCCAGGGTCTTCTCCTGCGCTTCCCCCCCACTCACTGCATTCCCACTCATGCTAGTAATATTATTACTAAATTTTCAGATGATACAACAGTGGTGGGACTCATCTACGAGGGGGATGAGTCTGCCTACCGAGATGAGGTGGACCGGTTGCTTTCGTGGTGTGGAGACAATAACTTGGTCCTCAACACTGATAAGACCAAGGAGCTGATAGTGGACTACATAAGGAACAGCTCAGACATCCAGTCCTGCTTATCCATGGAGACTGAGTGGAGCAAGTGGCCAGTTTTAAGTTTCTGGGTGTTACCCTAAAAGAGGACCTGACCTGGGGTGTCTACATTGCAGCCCTGGTCAAAAGGGCCCAGCAGAGATTATACTACCTGAGGCTTCTCAGGAAACAACAACTGAATGGAAAACTGCTGGTGACCTTCTACCGCTGCACCATAGAGAATATCTTAACTTACTGCACCTCTGTATGGTTTGCCAATTGCACAGTGGCAGATAGGAAAGCGCTCCAGAGGGTGAACGTCATTGCCCAGAGGATCATGGGTTGCCCTCTCCCCTCTTTGGAAGAGCTTTAAAGCTCCCGCTGCCTTAAGAAAGTTCAAAACATCCTCAAAGATCCATCTCATCCTGGGCTCCCTTTTTTTTTTAAACTATTACCATCTGGGAGACGGTACAGGATAATAAAAACGAGGACAAATAGGCTGAAAAACAGCTTCTATCCCAGGACAGTAGCTCTATTGAATTCTACTGTATAGTGCAATATGAATGCAATATCCGGGTTTTTTTAAAAAAATTCAATTGTATAGAATGTGTTTGTGTTTATTTTCATAGTCATAATGCGCACTGAAGATGGCATTTAATTTGGTTGTACGCGTGCAATGACAATTAAAGTAAACTAAAATGCATTTAAGATGGGGGTTGTTTTGGCTGCCCGCCCCGGGGGAAACAAAGCATAAAATGAGCCAGGCAGGGCTTCTCCCTCCATCCCGAGCCTCAGTTTCCCTGGTCGTACCTCCTGGCCTGTCACCAACACCAGGCTGTGCTCTTTCCCGTACTGGACCTGGCGGAAAATGTGGTCGAACACCAGCAGCTCGCTCCAGCAGTTCTGCAGCAACTTCATCTGGTCCCCAACCTAGGAGGAGGAGAAGCAGAAGATGACGGTAGCGCATCTACCCCTGCAAGTGGGGTGGGGGGCTCAGCCCCCTTTTAG